ATATAGAACCTTTTTGAAAAGGGTGCTGTATAGGGTTCTTCTGTTGTTACAAGCTTGACCTTGTACAGTACACTCTTAAAAAAGGGTTCAAGGGTTCTTTAGTAAAGAAAATGGCTCTATATAGAACCATGAACACTACAAGTACTCTTTATATAGCATCTATATAGCTACAAAAAGGGTTCTTCCATTGCTACGATATCAACCGTGTTACAATAGAAGAATGCTTTTTGGTGCTATATAGAACCCATTTCAAAAACGTTCTATATAGAACTTTATACAACACATTCTCCATCAATCTGAAGAACTATTTTACAATGCAAAGAACCCATTAATTATATTGAAGCATTTTCATTACAAATTAACTCTTAAAGAACCATCTTTTTAAGAGCGTAGCAGAACCCTTGTTGGTGCTATATAGACAGAACCCTTAAAGAACCATCGGTTTTAAGAGCATAGCAGAACCTTTTTGGTGCTATATAGAAAGAACCCTTAAAGAACCATCTATTTTAAGAGCGTAGAAGAACCCTTATTGGTGCTATATAGGGAGAACCTTTGAAGAACCATCTATTTTAAGAGCATAGCAGAACACTATTTAGTGCTATATAGAAAGAACTCTTAAAGAACCATCTGTTTTAAGAGCGTAGAAGAACCTTTTTGGTGCTATATAGGGAGAACCCTTAAAGAACCATCTATTTTAAGAGCATAGCAGAACGATTATTGGTGCTATATAGGGAGAACCCTCAAAGAACCATCTATTTCAAGAGCGTAGCAGAACACTTTGGTTCTATATAGAAAGAACCCTTAAAGAACCATCTATTTTAAGAGCGTAGCAGAACACTTTTTGGTGCTATATAGAAAGAACCCTTAAAGAACCATCTATTTTAAGAGCGTAGCAGAACGATTATTGGTGCTATATAGGGAGAACCCTTAAAGAACCATCTATTTCAAGAGCGTAGCAGAACACTTTTTGGTGCTATATAGAAAGAACCCTTAAAGAGCCATCTATTTCAAGAGCATAGCAGAACCTTTTTGGTGCTATATAGAAAGAACCCTTAAAGAACCATCTATTTCAAGAGCGTAGCAGAACGCTTTTTGGTGCTATATAGAAAGAACCCTTAAAGAACCATCTATTTTAAGAGCATAGCAGAACACTATTTAGTGCTATATAGAAAGAACTCTTAAAGAACCATCTGTTTTAAGAGCGTAGAAGAACCTTTTTGGTGCTATATAGAAAGAACCCTTAAAGAACCATCTATTTTAAGAGCATAGCAGAACGATTATTGGTGCTATATAGGGAGAACCCTTAAAGAACCATCTATTTCAAGAGCGTAGCAGAACACTTTTTGGTGCTATATAGAAAGAACCCTTAAAGAACCATCTATTTCAAGAGCGTAGCAGAACACTTTGGTTCTATATAGAAAGAACCCTTAAAGAACCATCTATTTTAAGAGCATAGCAGAACGCTTTTTGGTGCTATATAGACAGAACCCTTAAAGAACCATCTATTTCAAGAGCGTAGCAGAACACTTTTTGGTGCTATATAGAAAGAACCCTTAAGAACCATCTATTTCAAGAGCGTAGCAGAACACTTTGGTTCTATATAGAAAGAACCCTTAAAGAACCATCTATTTTAAGAGCATAGCAGAACGCTTTTTGGTGCTATATAGACAGAACCCTTAAAGAACCATCTATTTTAAGAGCATAGCAGAACACTTTTTAGTGCTATATAGGGAGAACCCTTAAAGAACCATCTATTTTAGGTCTAACAGGCTCACAGAGCCTTGTGAAAACGTGTCTCTCTGCTGCCCACAGGTGCGTAAAATCATCCGTGTGTGTAAAGGCATTCTGGAGTACCTGACCGTCGCTGAGGTGGTGGAGTCCATGGAGGATCTGATCACGTACACCAAAAACCTGGGGCCAGGTACACAAACACACCTGGGCAGCTCTTCAAACCAGACCATAAATAAAGACCCTCCTAAATAAAGACCTGCCCACTTCCCTGTTCTGTGACCAGTTCCTCATTCGCACTTTAATCCACTGCAAATGTCCACTGCGAACGTCTTTAACTGTATAACTGTACACATGTTCAGTAAAGTAACTGTACAGTTCAGTAAAGTAACCGTACACAACACCCCTTGCAGCCATTTGTAGACGTATTGTGCATATACTATACATATATTTGTTATATTGATATTTATGTTTACGCCTACATGTTTACGGTTTGTGTGCAGGGATGACGAAGATGGCGAAGATGATTGACGAGCGTCAGCAGGAGCTGACCCATCAGGAGCATCGAGTCATGCTGGTTAACTCCATGAACACAGTGAAGGAGCTTCTGCCCATCCTCATCTCAGGTATTCATGACTGTATATTCATACTGGTAACACTGAATATCTTTACCTGAGGAATTCATACTGCATTTATATTACTAACCTTTTTATTCATACTGGTGACACTGAACATTTTTATTTCAGAAATTCACACCGTTACTGCACGGTTATATTATTAACGGTACATTCATACTGGTAAATTCATACTGGTAACACTGAGCATCTTTATCTCGGGTATTCAGGATTCTACTGCACATTAATATTACTAACTGTATATTTGTACTGGGAAATTCATACTGGTAACAAACAGCTTTAACTCAGGAATTCATACTGCTACTGCACATTAATATTACTAACTGTATATTTATACTGGTAAATTCATACTGGTAACAAACAGCTTTAACTCAGAAATTCATACTGCTACTGCACATTAATATTACTCACTTTATATTTATACTGGTAAATTCATACTGGTAACACTGAGCATCTTTATCTCGGGTATTCATACTGCTACTGCACATTAATATTACTAACTGTTACTATGACTAAATGTACCTAAGTGTATCTCAGGTACTCATATTGCTAACTGAATATTCATACCGCTTATAATAAACTATAACCCAAGCGTGTCTCATGATCAAACTGTTACTGCATATTCATATTAAAAATATCCCCATCCAAAACAGCAGTGTAAAATTCATGAAACCTCTGCTTTATGTGTCTCATATTGACAATAAAAAGTCTATGTAGAATTGATGTGGTGTACATGTGCAGTTAGTGCAGATGTGCTGTAAGTGGGATCCTCCGTTTCTTTAGCAGTTCAAAGCTGCTCTGGTCTCTGCTCGTAGCCTGTGAGTGTTTTGTGTGTTTATCAGGCATAAAGATCTTCGTGACGACGAAGACGGCTCAGAGTCAGGGAGTGGACGAGGCTCTGAAGAACAGGAACTTCACCGTGGAGAAGATGAGCGCCGAGATTAACGAGATCATCAGAGTCCTGCAGCTGACGTCCTGGGACGAGGACGCCTGGGCCAGCAAGGTGTGTGTCAGAGTGGATCGCTAACACAAACACACACACACACACACACACACACACACACACACACACATGCACCCACACACGTTTGTGTTGCTATACACATGAGGACGTCCATAGGTTTCTATTGATTTTTGTGTTACTCTAGCTAGATAACACTACACCTAAACCTGAACCTAACCCTAACCTAACCTCAGTATCCAAAAGGCAATTTTTCTGCTCTTTTAGTTTTCAAATAAAAAAAAGTAATTGTGATGAAAACAACACATGCTCAAGTGAGGACCAGCAAAATTTCATATAGTCCTATCATAGTGAGGACATGTAGGAGGTCCTCACAAGTATAGCACTACATGAACACACACACACACATATATAAATAATAAATTGCAATATATTTGCTTTAATATCACAAAATTACAGAGACTAGCTGTTGAAAATACGGCATTATTGATATGAAGTTTATTGATCAGTTTAGTAATATTAATAGAAGTTCGTTCTCAGTGTTAATCAGTTATTACAGAAACATCTACAGCTCTGTTCATCAGTGAAAATGTTTGTACAGTTACCTTCAAATAATGTGAAAGATGTAGAATAATTGCATCTATATTTATATTAATGGAAAATAGTGAGTCTTTTGAACATTTAAAGTGTTTATATACGAATGATGTGAGATGAGAAAGAATGTGTTACTTGCACATCTCGTTTCTTTGATGTTGCAAAACAAATATATCGCTGTTGTCGTAAGAAAACCTCAAATCTCCATTTTTTTGATGTTTTTCAGTTTTTGACATAATTTGAAAATACCTGTTGTTCTTTACATTGTATGTAAATTTCATGATGAATGGACTAAAGGAAACAACCCATAATGACTTGGTAAAAAGTCTGGTTCCATTGACTTACATTAAAAGTAAAGTATGTTTCTTCCTTTTCCTGTAAAGTTACCATTTTGGAGATATCAGGTTTTGTTCTGACAACAGCGAAATATTAGTTATATAGTACAGTTTCATTTTGATGTAAAAGTGAACACCAACATTTTAAAGCCTCTATATCTCAGAAACAAATGAAGATACAAGCCTAAAATTTTATTTTATTTTTCCTGTCATGTGTCAACATTTCTGCATAACTCTGTGTGAGCTGTACACAGAGAGATTCAGAGAGGTTTGGTGTGAAATGGTTCAGATGTCTTTACAGTGGTGGTGATAGGAACCAGGGGTCGCCATGACTACAACACAGATATAGACATTTACTATCCAGAACCACCAGTGAACCTACACGAGTCTTCTGAGTTTATATGGAATGTTGATGATGGAAAATAGTGAAAAATCTGAAATAATATGTTTTCTTCCGGGACTATTTTGCCTCACAGCGCCCTGCATGTATCCCTCCACCATGAATGGAGTTTATGTTCTCTAAACTATCCTAAAACAGTGTCTCAGTCATCAGGCAGTGAATTCATAACCATTTCATGTAGTAACTTTCTGTGAGGGAGCTTTTAGAGGTGGACGTCTGGTTCCTATCACCACCACTGTGAACAGTTCTGACTCAGTAAGTTTCTCTAGAACAGAGCGTTTCACACCAAACCACTCTGAACGACTCTGATTACATCTTAACCATTTAATTATGCAGAAATTTTTAAAAATTGTTGGAGTTCCCCTTTAAGCAAATCTGAATGGTTCACTCCGGAGGCCTTTAGTGATTCACATGGACTGACCGCTCTAACCCTTTCCTCATCTCTTTCTGCTTCTTTTGCATCTTCTGTGTCGTCATATTGTGGAATTTATTTTTATTTCTTCCTCTCCTCTCCCGTTCTTTTCTTTTTCTCCTGTAGAAGGTAAGCATTCTCTCTCTCCCCGCATGCCCACTCTCTGCATTTTGACTTTTGCAGTTTATTATATGTGAAGTCATCTGTGAGAAGACACAGATGACGAGTGTGCGTGTGAAGGCTGGGCAGTGTGAGCAGTGCTAATGGTTTTTAGGGGAGAATGTGCTGCAGGTTGGCGAGGATTTGACCAGCTCCAGTTCTCTCCTGCTGGTTGTGTTTTGGGCGTGTTGTGTGTTTCAGCGTGAAAAGTCAGTTTGGCAGTTTGTTTGGTGCAACGCACATGTGAAAAAGAGACAGTAGGCCTTGTGCTACTGCTGTTTAACCCAGCACTAACCTGTGTAGTTCTTTTCTCATTTACACACATTTTTGGTCCACTTTATTAGAAACACCTACCTTGTACTTCCACTCACTGGCCACTTTATTAGAAACACCTACCTTGTGCTTTCACTCACTGGCCACTTTATTAGAAACACCTACTTTGTACTTCCTCTAACTAGCCACTTTATTAAAAACACGTACCTTGTGCTTCCACTCACTGGCCACTTTACTGGAAACACCTACCGTGTGCTTTCACTCACTGGCCACTTTATTGGAAACAACTACCTTGTGCTTTCAGTCACTGGCCACTTTATTAGAAACACCTACTTTGTACTTCCTCTAACTGGCCACTTTATTAGAAACACCTACCTCGTACTTCCACTCACTAGCCACTTTATTAGAAATACGTACCTTGTGCTTCCACTCACTGGCCACTTTATTGGAAACACCTACCTTATGCTTCCACTCTCTGGCCACTTTATTAGAAACACGTACCTTGTGCTTCCACTAACTGGCCACTTTATTAGAAACACGTACCTTGTGCTTCCACTCACTGGCCACTTTATTAGAAACACCTACCTTGTACTTCCACTCACTGGCCACTTTATTAGAAACACCTACCTTGTGCTTCCACTCACTGGCCACTTTATTGGAAACACCTGCCTTATAGCTCCACTGTTTAGGTGTTAAGTTACAGACTGTAGTCCATCTGTTGCTGTACAGTTTATCAGCCCCTCTGCCCCGTTCATCACTGGTCATTTTCTGACCCCATGGACCGCTGTTGTTGATATTATTTGGGTGGTGGTCCATTCTCAGCACAGCAGTGACACTGACATGGTAGTTTGTGTGGTGCTGATGCGAGAGTAGCCAGAAACAGACCACTGATGAAGGACTAGAGGACGACCAACACAAACTGCATATCAATAGATGAGCTGCAGAGTCTAACTGTACACCAGCAATGAGGAGCTACAGGAGAGGGGTTTCTGATAAAGTGGCCAGTGATTGTATATGCATACTGCCGTGTGTGTGTGTGTGTGTGTGCGCGTGTGTGTGTGTGTGTGTGAGTGCATGTGCCTGTGTGTGCATTTGTGTGTGCATGTGTATGTTTGTCTTTAAAAGCTGTGAACTCACATCTACTTTTGCTTAAATGATAAAGACAGAAGAAGAAGTAACGCAGGAAGAAACAGAGATTAGTTTACATAGCAACGTTCCGATCATATCTGAGTGGTCATCACTGGATCTGACAGGCTTGTTGAAATTCAGCAGAAAAAAATAAAATATAGCAAAAATGGAAGATATGGGCTCTGTAAAGTTCTCTGGTCAGGATAATAAATATATACGCACAATAAGAAGTACAATAAATGTCTAATCTTTCTCTGAAGACTCTTTCTGAGCATTTTACCGTGTCAGTGTTTGAGTGTAAACACTGGAAACTTACGTCTAACGGTGTAGCTGCACTAAGTTTTGGTGATTTGGAGACCTCTCTGGTGGAAATGTGGAATTACACACAAAGTGCAGAAAAACATTCTGTATCATGACCCCTTCGCCGAGCGGATTAATCTGATGATTGAAAGAGAATTCAAAGAGAACTCAGTGTAAACTTGGTGACGGAGCGTCTCTGATGATGTGAGTGAAGTTGTCGATGATGTGAGTGAAGTTGTCGTCATATCTTCATCAGTATAATGTTGATTCTGAGATCATTTGAGGCCGAAACATCGAGCTGGACCTTCTTTTAGAGTCTGTCTGTGTGACGTTTATACATAAAGACATACGACATGGTGTGAAAGACTCCCAACCTGATGCCTCTGACTTTTAAATGATGATTCCAGGCTTTGCAGGGCGACTTGCAGCAGCGCACGCTCACCATATTTTAGCCTGTTTTTATCCTCCTCACTCTGTAATTACACTTCTTTCAACAAGCAAAGTTTATTTACATAACGCTTTTAACAACAGGCGTTGTCATGAAGCAGCTTTACAAAACAAAACAAAATCAGCATTACAGAAAGAAATCCGGGTCCAAGCCCCCATGAGCGTCGCCAGTGGCGACAGTGGCAAGGAAAAACTCCCTAAGAGAAACAGGAAGAAACCTTGAGAGGAACCAAGACTCAGAAGGGGAACCCATCCTCCTCTGGTCGACACCGGATAGCAAACATTGTTAGTACAAAAACAGGGAAAACAGGTGGAGCATTGATTAATTTGATTAGTTTAGTTCATGCAGCAGCAGCAGCAGCATCAGTGGGGTCAGGTTGTGAGGGTGAGGTTTGCATGGCGTAGTACAGCATGGAGCTCGATGGTGGTCAAGCTGGTCCAGAGGGCTGGTGAGCAGTGGCACCCAATCAAGGCAGAAGAGGCAGCAGCATCAGACGCACAGGATGGGCAGCTGTTCAACTCGGCAAAGGAAACAAAAGAAAGGAAAAACACACAGAGTCAGTTCTGTAATGAGTGACTGACAGAACTGAGAGTCAGTTCTGTAATGGGTGTCAGTTCTGTAATGGGTGTCAGTTCTGTAATGGGTGACTGATCACAGATTACAGTGTTAGCAGAGCAGCAGAGACTCTGTCAGGTCTAGAACTAACAGGGAAAACTAATTACCAAAGGCTGGACTACAAGTAAGTTTTTAGCCTAGACTTAAACACTGAGGCTGAGTCTGAGTCCCGAACATTAACAGGAAGACTATTCCAAAGCCGGGGGGCTTTGTATGAGAAAGCTCTCCCCCCTGACGTAACTTCATTAATTCTGGGTACTAATAGTGAGCAGCACCTTGTGATCTAAGTAGGCGTGATGGTTCATAGTGGGAGAGAAGTTCACTCAGGTACTGAGGGGCGAGTCCGTTTAGAGCTTTATAAGGCAGTAAGAGAATTTTATAATCAATGCGAAATTTAACTGGTAACCAGTGTAAGGTCGATAAAACTGGGCTGATATGGTCAAACTTTCTGGTTCTTGTAAGAACTCTGGCTGCAGCGTTCTGGACCAACTGAAGCTTGTTAAGGCTTTTGCTGGGACATCCAGCCAGCAGGGCATTACAGTGATCTAGCCTTGAAGTAATAAATGCATGAACTAACTTTTCTGCATCCTGTAGAGAGAATGCATTTCTCAATTTAGCAATATTGCGAAGATGCAGGAAGGCTGTTCTAGTAATATTAGTTATATGTGCGTCGAAGGACAGATCAGGGTCTATAATGACACCAAGGCTTTTTACAGATGAGCTTGATCCAGCTGAGAAATTGTTAAGTTTAAGTGTTAAATTAGACAGTTTGTTTCTGGCTGCTTTTGGACCAAGAAGCAGAACCTCTGTTTTATCCGAGTTAAGAAGGAGAAAGTTACTCGACATCCAGTCCTTTACGTCTTTTATACAGTCTTCAATCTTGCCAAGTTTAATTTTATCATCCGGTTTGCTTGCTAAGTATAACTGAGTGTCATCGGCATAGCAGTGGAAATTTATGCCGTGTTTACTGATAATGGTGCCCAGTGGTAGCATATATAATGTGAATAATACAGGTCCTAAAACAGAGCCTTGTGGAACACCATACTTTACTTTTGCGAGGGCAGATGATTCACCGTTTATATTAACACACTGATAGCGATCAGTGAGGTAGGATCTGAACCAGGAAAGAGCTGTTCCTGTTACCCCTACAAGGTTTTCTAGTCTATCTAGTAAGATAGCGTGGGTTATTGTGTCAAATGCCGCACTAAGATCGAGGAGGACTGACAGAGACACTTTTTCTTGGTCAGAGAATAATAATAGATCATTTACAATTTTTACTAGTGCTGTCTCTGTACTATGATGTGGCCTAAAGCCAGATTGACATTGTTCATGCATTTGATTCCTATGCAAATAGGAGCTTAATTGTTTTGCTATAACTTTTTCCAAGGTCTTAGATATAAAGGGGAGATTCGAGATGGGTCTATAATTTGATAGTTCGCAGGGATCGAGGTTCGCTTTCTTAATCAGCGGTCTAATTACTGCTAGGTTAAGAGATTTTAAGGTTTAAGAGATTTCAACCTTTTTTTAACAAAAAAATCGTATCTGTAACAGTTTGGGGACTCAGTTTAGAGGCCTGTAGATTGGCAGCAGCTCTCTATGTGGATGCCTCAGCTAAATCTGACCAGTAGAAGGTGAAACTGGCCTGAATCCAACAAGTTTAAATACAACAAGCACATAAATACAATGATCGAACACAAATGGAGCAGCACTAACAAGGCTGTGTGGTGACGTCACCAGAAAGGTCCCACCTCTTGCAACTGCAGCGCGAAACTTGTGAGGAAACTGGTGAGAGAAAATGAAGCCTGTTGTGTTGTGCTTGTTGCTATGGTAGCCAATACGCCAACAAGCTTATGTGGTACAATAAACTACACATATACAAATACTTCTGATTAAAATACGATACATGGACAATATACAATATACACCGATCAGGCATAACATTCTGACCACCTCCTTGTTTCTACGCTCATTGTCCATTTTATCAGCTCCACTTACTATATAGGTGCACTTTGTAGTTCTACAGTTACAGACTGTTTTTAAACACTGTGTCCACTCACTGTCCACTCTATTAGACACTCCTACCTTGTCAGTCCACCTTGTAGATGTAAAGTCAGAGACGATAGCTCATCTGCTGCTGCACAGTATGTGTTGGTCATCCTCTAGTCCTTCATCAGTGGTCACAGGACGCTGCCCACAGGACGCTGTTGGCTAGATATTTTTGGTTGGTGGACTATTCTCAGTCCAGCAGTGACACTGAGGTGTTTAAAAACTCCAGCAGCACTGCTCTGTCTGATCCACTCAGACCAGCACAACACACACTAACACACCACCGCCACGTCAGTGTTACTGCAGTGCTAATGACCCACCACCCAAATAGTACCTGCTCTGTGAGGGTCCATGGGGGTCCTGACCACTGAAGAACAGGGTAAAAGGGGGCTAACAAAGTATCAGAGAAACAGATGGACTACAGTCTGTAACTGTAGAACTACAAAGTGCACCTATATAGTAAGTGGAGCTGATAAAAGGGCTGAAAGTGAGTGTTGCTGGAAATCAGCCGCACTTCGGCACATTCTCTCAGCACGCGGCTGATGGGGAGCCAAGGCAAATATTTACAAGCTATTTTTGACTGCAGTTTGCCTTTTAAGGGTTCAGGCTTTACCAAAATGCTGGCAAATGAATCTGAACGGCTGTACAAACCTTTCACTCGCTCTGCACTTGTACTTCGATGGATTTTTGTAAAAACGTCCTGAAAAAAGATGCTATAAATAAAACATATTATTATATTATTATTAGTAGTAGTAGTAGTAGTAGACGTTTTAACCCGTCCCAGTAACCCTATTGGATCTGACCTTTCAGTGGCCTTTTTAGACTCAATGATTCACTTCACAGCTTACGGACAATGAATTATTGGCCCTCCCCATCTTCTAAACATGGTGAGAGAATACAATATAATGAAAAACTATTACTATAAACTTTCTAATTTAGGGGAAATGTGAGAAATCCTGCCTTGAGGAGGAAATATGTTCTGTCTTCAGTGTCGACACACAATATATCAGCTTTTGTTTTGGGCACACTGGGGTGGGGGGTGATGGGGTTCTTATCTCCCTCTGTGAGTGAGTCAGTTCTGAGCAACCACAGCTGAGTGTCTTGCTAACCTAAAAAGGAAGTGAACTGCATGGCTAAGCAGCTCCTTCACACACACACACACACACACACACACACACACACACACACACACCCCGCTCTGACTGACGTCAGACACACAGCAGTGTTTCCTGTAGTAAAGTCATTAGCTGATGTGTTTACTAGTTCAGGCTGGTCCAGATATTAAGAGGATACCAGGCCACTGTTGGCCCATTGATGGCGAAGCTGGCGGCCCACTGGCTTTTTGCTCAGCGTTTTCCAGGCGGCCCACTTGTGCTACTTTTCAGCGCTCGTTTTCCACCCACAGTCCAATGTACTTATTTTTCCTTCTTTTCTTTCTCTCGCTACCCTTTGTAAAGTAGTTTGGTAAATCATTTAACAGTAACATCGTAAGTAAGGCTGGTTTTGCAGATGTAATCAATCCAGCACAGTGTCAGCAACAACACTTACAACAAAAATGTCTGTCTGTTTATTTAAATCATAGCATTATTCGATCATATTCGATAATAAAGGCTACCACCAGCAGTCAAGGGGCAACAAGCGATTCATTCCTTAATGGTGCAGTGAAATAAGAAGTCATATTGCCCCCCTGCTGTCGTGTATACAATAAAAATGGTGTACTGCTCATATGAACATTTATAGAGCAATACAGAGCACTTTTAATCAACAATAGAAGCCATATCGCCCCCTACGCTTCCTGTAGTGTATTACAGTCTGTCAGAGTGACTGTGTGGATCATATGAACATTATAGAGCTTTTTAAATGAAACAGTAGAAGCCATATCGCCCCCTACACTTCCTGTAGTGTATTACAGTCTGTCAGAGTGACTGTGTGGATCATATGAACATTATAGAGGCTTTTTAAATGAAACAGTAGAAGCCATATCGCCCCCTACACTTCCTGTAGTGTATTACAGTCTGTCAGAGTGACTGTGTGGATCATATGAACATTATAGAGCTTTTTAAATGAAACAGTAGAAGCCATATCGCCCCCTACACTTCCTGTAGTATATTACAGTCTGTCAGAGTGACTGTGTGGATCATATGAACATTATAGAGCTTTTTAAATGAAACAGTAGAAGCCATATCGCCCCCTACACTTCCTGTAGTGTATTACAGTCTGTCAGAGTGACTGTGTGGATCATATGAACATTATAGAGCTTTTTAAATGAAACAGTAGAAGCCATATCGCCCCCTACACTTCCTGTAGTGTATTGCGGTCTGTCAGAGTGACTGTGTGGATCATATGAACATTATAGAGCTTTTTAAATGAAATGTTAATAGCCATTGGTGAGTATTCATGTCTTTTTAGAGCAAATATTTATATATACAGTCCCTGTTCACTTTATTGGAAACCCCTACCTTATACTTACACGCACTGGCCACTGTATGAGCTCCACCTGCCTTATAGGTCCACTATATAGTTATAGGTATAGACTGCATTGTCTTGCTGTTCATCGGCAAGGTGTGCAGTGAGTGTATATTACCAGTACTGCTTGATATTGTTTGCACCTGTTTTGTTCTTTGGCTGTATAACCACACACTGGGCTTTGTGTGTTTGATAATATCTGAGCAAACGAGGTTGATTCCAGAGAGAAATGATTGTGCTGCTACTTACCCAAGCTATAGCACTACCTCCACCATGTTTCACCCAGGACTGTGACTGAGACTGTGAGTGCACCTTCTCACTCTGTTCTCTCTCTGAAGGACACCGAGACTATGAAGAGAGCTCTGGCACTCATCGACTCCAAAATGGCTCAGGCAAAGAACTGGCTCAAAGACCCCAGCGCTCAGCCAGGTACACACACAACACACACACACACACACAGCTTAAAGGTGCCGCTCGCAGACCATAGGAAAATGGAATATGTTTCAATATGTTGTCCATCTATACCAAAGTATAAATAAAATGTTTTCAGTGTGTCCCGTTTTTGTGGACACACACATCTGCACTGTTACCTGAGCCTGCTGTAGTGCAGGCGCAGCACAGTGTGCCGTGATGCAATTACAATGTGCTAACAATGCATCTGAAATTAACGTTTGAAATTTATATGACAGTATAATTAAAATTTTAGTTTTTTTTAGTACTACATAATTTTAGTGGTATAAGCAATGTCGTTTTCTTCATGCACACCTTTAGAAAAGGGTTCTCTAGTAAAGAGAATGGTTCTATATAGATCCCCAAACACTCACAGAACCCTCTGCATGATTAAATGGTTCTTTGCATTGTGAAAGTTTTTCAGGTTTACAGAAAATGTGGTGTAGATGGTTCTATATAGAACCTTTTTGAAAAGGGTTCTATATAGCACCAAAACGCGTTCTTCTATTGTTAAAGACTTGACACTGTAAACGATAGAAGAACCCTTTTTGGTGCTATATAGAACCCTTTTCAAAAAGGTTCATTGCTGTTGCAGGTGAGGCTGGTGAACAGGCTATTCGTCAGATTCTGGATGAAGCGGGTAAAGTGGGCGAGCTGTGTGCGGGTAAAGAGAGGAGAGAGATTCTGGACACGGCCAAAACGCTCGGACAGATCACTGACCAGGTCTCAGACCTGCGCGCCAGGTAACGCACGTCCCACGCCGCTGACCTTTATAACCCCTTAAATTCACCTCAGACGCCTTCATTGCTGTCACCTCTCCACACTGTGGTGTCTGTGTTTAACGTAGTGTTATAATTTGGTGAGAAAATCTTAATCTTAATAGACTAGTGTCGTTTTGACTGTGGGCTCAGACTGAGGTCTGAGACTCAGCATGTAAACAACAAACACCAGGTGCCTTCAAACAGCACCCAGCCAGACACAGCTACATCTATCTGTCTGTCTGTCTGTCTATCTGTCTATCTATCTATCTATCTATCTATCTATCTACTTATCTATTTTTCTACCTATCTGTCTGTTGCTCTATGTATCTGTCGTTTTGTCCTTCTATCTGTCTGTCTGTCTTTCTATCTGTCTGTGTCTGTCTATCTGTCTGTGTCTCTCTGTCTGTCTATCTGTCTATCTATCTCTCTATCTATCTATCTATCTATCTATCTACTTATCTATTTGTCTACCTATCTATCTGTCGCTCTATGTATCTGTCGTTCTGTCCTTCTGTCTGTCTTTCTATCTGTCTGGGTCTGTCTATCTGTCTGTGTCTGTCTGCCTGTCGATCTGTCTGTCTGTCTGTCTATCTGTCAATCTGTCTGTTGATCTGTCTGTCTATCTGTCGGTCTGTCTATTGGTCTGTCTATCTATCTATCTATCTATCTATCTATCTATCTGCCGTTCTGTCCTTCTATCTGTCTGTCTGTCTGTTGTTCTGTCATTCTATCTATCTATCTATCTGTCTGTCTGTCTGTCTGTCTGTCTGTCTGTCTGTTTGTCTGTCGTTGTTCTGTCGTTCTATCTGTATATCATTCTGTTGTTCTATCAGTAAAATGCCATCCATGGTCATGTTTTGTGTGCCAGGTCACTCACCCTCACACAGCTGACCGTTCTGACCCTTTCAGTTTTTCAGAGGCCTTCATTGCTGTCACTTCACCACACTGTGGTTTCTATGTTTAATATGGTGTTTTCATTTTTCATTTTGAGCTCATGGTGAGAAAATCTCGCTGTGACGAACCTCTGTGTGAGGTGGGTGAGTGTTTTTTTAATAGACTAGTGTATTTTAGATTGTGGGCATCAGGCTGAGAGATCTGAGGCTCAGCATGCAAACAAGAAACAGCTGCAGCCAGTCGCACCAGCTGAATGTAAGTTGGATCATCAGTTGGGGTGTAAAGTCCATCCTAAACCTCACGTTGAGAGTAGTTACTACTAACTAGTAGTGCCTGAGCCGGTTTATGAGCCGGTTTTCCTGTTTCCACCGTAATGTCAAAAACAGGACTACAGTGGAGTGAATGGAGCTAAACGGCTGCTCTGTACTTGGATCTGCTTGTATCTTTCACAATATCACAATTTGATGTTTTATAAACTTTTATCGGCCCCTGAGGACCAGATGAGAACCTGAAAGCAGAGATCAGAGGGAACTCTCTGCTGTTCTGACTGTTTTATTAAGGATGAAACGTGACCCCTGCAGATCTGATCAGACGCAGCTGTGTGAGATTACTCCTCACACACTGCAGCCCAACAGTCCTGCTACCCAAACACAGCTGGTCCAACAGCCTGCGGAAGAAGAAGCTTTAGCAGTTTTCTAGCCATAATGTCCAGACTGGTCAGTCTAGAGAGCAAATACACCAATCAGGGATAACATTATGACCACCTCCACCTACGCTCATTGTCCATTTTATCAGCTCCACTTACTATATAGGTGCACTTTGTAGTTCTACAGTTACAGACTGTAGTCCATCTGTTTCTCTGATACTCTGTTAGCCCCCTTTTACCCTGTTCTTCAGTGATCAGGACCCCCATGGACCCTCACAGAGCAGGTCCTATTTGGGTGGTGGATCATTCTCGGTGGTGTGTTAGTGTGTGTTGTGCTGGTCTGAGTGGATCAGACACAGCAGTGCTGCTGGAGTTTTTAAACACCTCAGTGTCACTGCTGGACTGAGAATAGTCCACCAACCAAAAATATCCAGCCAACAGCGTCCTGTGGGCAGCGTCCTGTGACCACTGATGAAGGACTAGAGGACGACCAACACAAACTGTGCAGCAGCAGATGAGCTATCGTCTCTGACTTCTACAAGGTGGACCGACAAGGTAGGAGTGTCTAATAGAGTGGACAGTGAGTGGACACAGTGTTTAAAAACTCCAGCAGCACTGCTGTGTCTGATCCACTCAGACCAGCGCAACACACACTAACACACCACCACCACGTCAGTGTTACTGCAGTGCTGAGAATGACCCACCACCCAAATAGTACCTGCTCTGTGAGGGTCCATGGGGGTCCTGACCACTGAAGAACAGGGTAAAAGGGGGCTAACAAAGTATCAGAGAAACAGATGGACTACAGTCTGTAACTGTAGAACTACAAAGTGCACCTATATAGTAAGTGGAGCTGATAAAATGGACAATGAGCGTAGAAACAAGGAGGTGGTCAGAATGTTGTGCCTGATCAGTGTATACTCCACACCAGGAGAGCAGTTTGTTCCAGAATATTCATAAGGCCACCGTGCAGCAGACACAGCACTAAAACCTGCAGCTGTAGTACGTGGTGGCGCAGACGCGTCAAGCTACAGTTCATTTTTACACTCAACTCATAAAGATGGGATAAAATGTACGGTGTCCTTTGTGAATTTACCCTGTGTGGTATCAGCTAACTAGTCCTGGGAGAGCACTGTGTCTCCAGGCCTCATGGTCCCTTCTTTTTTCGTTTTTGCTAATTGTTTAGACTTTACGTTGCTAACAAGGAAGTTAGCAGAAGGCAGTAAGCTGGCGACGGTATCAGGGACTCCCCAGAGGGGAAATGATGAGGCACGCAGACGAGGGCGTGTTGAAAATAGCACTGAAACTGAGATGTTCTCATAGAGGACGTGCTCAAAGATAAAGATGCTCTGTATTGTGTGCATTTTTAGTGTATTTGTATTTAGCTGAGCTCTTTATTCCTCCTCACACCTTTTTCTTTAGGGAGAAACTTAATGTGTGTTTGTGTTGTTCAGGTGTTTGTTTGTTTCTATCTGTCTGTCCATCTGTGGTTCCATTGTTCTATTGTTCCATCTGTTGTTCTGTCTGCCAGTCTGTCTAGCATTCTGTCTGTCTGTCTATCTATCTATCTATCTATCGTTCTGTCTGTCATGCTATCATTCTATCTGTTATTCTATTCTTCTATCTATCTTTCTATCGTTCCTTTGTTCTGATGTTCTATCTATTGTTCTTTATATTGTTCTGTTGATCGATCAATCTATCTGTCTGTCTGTCTGTCTGTCTGTCCATCTAGCGTTCTATCGTTCTATTATTCTATTCTTCTATCTGTCGTTCTATCATTCTGTCTATCTTTTTATCTATCTACCTACCTAGCTATCTATCATTAGTTTTATCTATCTATCTATCGTTCCATCGTTCTGTCATTCTATCATTCTATCTGTTATTCTATTCTTCTATCTATCGTTCTTTTGTTCTGATGTTCTATCTATTGTTCTTTATATTGTTCTGTTGATCTATCTATCATTCTATCGTTCTATCATTCTATCTATTGTTCTGTCTATATATCGTTCTATTGTTCTGTCATTCTATTGTTCTATCTATCTATGAATTCCATCTTTGGTAATGTTTTGCAATGTTGTTAATATCGTGAAGTTCACACAACATTATTACATTTAATGCTGCTTATCACTGAATAGATTCTCAATCCTGTTCACTGAAATATTTAGTCAGAATGTGTTTTAACAAGGGAATTTATTTGGAAGCCGTATGGAAAACTACTTTAGTTTTTTATTTACTAAACACACAGCTGTGGTGGGACTGTAAGAACAAGTTGGGAAATGTTTTACAGACTGACTGAACCAAACCACATTCAGCTTCATCTGGTAAACGCTGAAAAAGATGAGCTGAACCTGATATTGCCGCTATGTCATGGGTCCAACTAAAGGGCTCCACCTTTGGTGGAAGGAATTGCCGATATTAAAGCACATTTGATACATCATTCGAGACACCTTTACATCACTTTTGCAGAACATTCAGAGCTGTGTGTTATCATGAGTAGCGTCACGGCTGTGGTGATCTGCTGGACTCACCTTCAGCTCCTGTTTTACAAAAGAATCGCAGCCGTGATGTTCGCAGTAAACATTTCCTCTCCTTTTCATTTTCTGCGTAACAGCTGGAGCTCAACTCATTAAAAATCACTCACTGCACACATTCAGGAACAAACCCGTCTTTTCCAAGTTCGGAAGTTAATCTGATATCTCATGTTCAGAAACGTAGCACTTTATCTGCAAAATGTTTGTTTATTTTTAAAAAGTGTAATTTGGGGATATGTAAGTGTTTGGTTACTAGTGTTATTTGTGTGTGTTACAGGGGTTCAGGTACGAGTCCAGTGGCGATTCAGAAAGCCCAGCAGGTGTCTCAGGGTTTGGACATGTTGTCGGGGAAAGTGGGGAACGCAGCACGGAAACTGGAGGCCATGACCAACTCCAAACAGGCACTGGCCAAAAGAGCAGAAGCTGCTCAGGTACAGAATAGACACAAAGAAATATACACAGAGAACTGGACCCAGTCCCATTTCTTATTTTCACCCCTACCCCTTGTTTTTGAGTGCTGCCCCTTGAACTGAGTTCCAGGGTAGTGGTTGAACTCTTCCCTCTGAAATGGGACCCTCAAATAAAAAGAGCATCACTTCATTAACAGCTACCAGCACTGCTCTGTAGGCGACCCTGCCAGTCTGCAGTGACAGCAGAGGAGGGTAAAGTTCAGCTCCTCACTGCTGGGCTTTAGTTACATTTAGGGCATCATACGCCTTCAAAGAGGGGGGCAATTATTTATTATCACCACCCCTAATTCTTCAGTGATATGAAGCTGAAGTCAGATATTCACCAGATTCTTGTTCAAATTTTCTCATTCCACCTTAAATGGAGCAGCATTTCTTGTCTGAGCTGCCAGAATGTAGCTGCTGCACCATTTGAAGTGGAGTGGGAAATGTAGCTAGCTACAGAGACGTCAGCACTATTAATGATTTTTTTTATGCTTGTTATGAAGAAAAGGACCAAAATATATTAAAACGACATTAAACTAAGATAATGTGATGGATATTGTAATTTTTTACCAGAGAAAATTTTCACATTTGTGTGTTTCTTTGGTCTCTTGCTCAGCCATCTTGCTGGTTTTTCTTTTTTTCTCAGTTTGGCCTCTGAAAAACCTCTGTTTGGAGGGTCGTGTAGCCCCAACACTTCACCCTCCCCCTCTATCTCAACAAGAATCAGAACACCCTACACCTAGACGTGAACACACAAAACAGAGGGGTAGGGCTAAGTGGTAGGGGCAAGGGGTGAAATGAGATTAGGCCTTAGCCTGACTTTACAAAACAGGAAAGTCTGTTTTCTTATAAGTATATAATATGTAAATGAGACCTTTTCCTCCTCTCCTTACCATCCAGTACCAAGCTCTCCTAATCAATCCTTCATTAAATGAAATCAGGAGCTGCTGATGTAACTGAACAAATCCAAGTGGTGGTTTGGAAAGCTGAGAGAGAACAGGGGGTCTTAGGCCAAAAAAGTTTGAGAACTGCTGCTGTTGGAGTGTGGTGATGATGATGATGATGATGGTGGTGATGGTGATGATGTGTGTGCAGGGCTGGCTGGCAGACCCGACTGCGAGTCCAGAGGGTGAGGAGCATGTGAAGGCGGTTGTGGCTGAAGCCAGGAAGATTGCTGATATGTGCGAGGACCCGCGAGAGAGAGACGACATCCTGCGCAGTCTGGGAGAGATTACGGCACTGACCGGAAAGCTGACCCAGCTCAGGAAAGCGTGAGTGTTAAAAACAGAGAGTCCAACCAATTTAGTTTTCCCCCTTTTTACTCCAAATGCAGTCGATCGGCCGAGACACGTTTGGTGTCTGAAGTTTGCTTCATTAGCTAATCTAGCTAATGTAACGGCACAGTATTCTGTGGACTTTTCTGTGCAACCTTTCCTATTTGTGTAATAAAAAACACTTTCTTGTCATTTATCAGCGATACATCTGAGACATTGTCACCGATCCTTGTTTCCATCAAAATGGTTGGCAAGACCATCTAGGCTGAGTTTGGACATCAAATCTGTGTAAATAGTGACCGTCACCCAGCGTGGGGAAACTTTCACGACCAGTTAAAATACATTTTAGCACGTATAAACATCACATTTAACACTAAAACGAATATGAAACAATGGATTATCACCAGGAAACACTGTGTGTTTAATACTGAGGTGTTAATCTAAGTTGCCTTACCAGACTTACAGCTGCTTGGCTTCACACCACTGACTCACTTTACCAGGCTTTTTCCATGGTAGCCTCATTCATTACACATATCGTCGCTGTCCAAAGAAAAACGTATCTCCATTTTTTGCGATTTTCACTTTTCTACATCATTTGAGCTCAGCAGCTGTTCTTTACATTGTGTGAAAATTTCATGATGAATGGACCAAAAAAAATGCACCAAAACTGCTTAGAAAAAAAATCAAAATGGTCTAAATGGTTTTATGTAGAACCAAAAAGGCTTTGCATGATTAAATGGTTCTTTGCATCATGATTGGTGGAGAATGTGCTGTAGATGGTTCTATATAGAAGCCTTTTGAAAAGGGTTCAGTATGACACCAAAAAGGGTTCTTCTATTATTACAAGCTTAACGTCATAACAATAGAAGAACCCTTTTGGTGCTATATAGAACCCTTGTCAAGAAGGTTCTGTATAGAACCATATTCAACACAATCTGAAGAACCCTTTAATGATGCAAATGACCGTTTAATCATGTGAAGCGTTCTTGGTTCTGTATAAAACTGTTTACCTATACTAAACCTTTACTGAAGAACCCTTAAAGTACCATCAGTTGTAAGTGTTGGAGTAAGCAAGAAATACTGAGCCCTGGATCCAGAATGCTGAGAGGACTCTCTGTGATTTATATGGTGACTAATTAGAAAAAGACAGACTGAAACACTTCGGAAATGCATCCTCTATGAATCGGCCTTAAGGTGGAGGAATTGTACACGGTATTTTTTGGCCAAACTATTCCTTTAAGACACCACTCCACTTTACTGGGAGAGAGGCTTTCAGATATCTCTTATAATACACTGTAAAATCTGTCTGAGGCATAATTTCTGTGTTATTCTCCAATATAACGTCTGCAGTTTAAAGTAACCTCGTCTTTTCTTGTCCGTGTTTTAGGGGTAAAGGTGACACTCCTGAGGCTCGCGCTTTGGCTAAGCAGATTTCTACAGCTCTGCAGAACCTGCAGTCTAAAACCAACCGCGCTGTGGCTAACAGCCGGCCGGCTAAAGCTGCGGTGCACCTGGAGGGGAAGATGGAGCAGGCTCAGCGCTGGATGGACAACCCCAGCATGGAGGACGGAGGAGTGGGTGAGTACAGAGTGCTGTGAGAAAGTCGGAGCAAATTTAGTCGGACAGTGAGAGTTTATATGTTCAAAACATTCAAATAAAAGCAAATAAATAAATAACAGCACATTGTGATTATCCTGGGTGAGCTATATTAATCATTTTCTAAAATGAGGAAGTTCAGTATTTATAGTTACCATCCAGCACCTGCTTTATCAAATCAGTACTTCCTCAGATTAAATCAGCTGCTGGTGGAATTGAACAAATCCATGTAGAGAGAAGTCAGGAGCCAAACCTGTTCTTATAACCTACATATTGTTAATGTTGGACGCACAGTCACAGTGGATTATTTGGGTTTTTTCTTTGTTTGTTTGTTTGTTTTACAACCCCATTTCCAAAAAATTTGGGATGCTGTGCAAAATGTAAATAAAACAAAATGCAATGATGTGCAAATCATTTAAACCCTATATTTCATTGAAAATAGTACAAAGACAACATATCAAATGTTGAAAGTGAGAAATTTTATTGTTTGTTGAAAACTATTTGCCCATTTTGAATTTGATGCCAAAAACATGTTTCAAAAAAGTTGGGATGGGGGCAATAAAAGGCTGGTAAAGTTGTGTAATGCTAAAATAACACCTGGTGGTTGATTGGCAACAGGTCAGTAACATGACTGGGTCTAAAAAAGCATCTCAGAGAGGCGGAGTCTATCAGAAGTAAAGATGAGGAGGGGTTCACCACTCTGTGAAAGGCTGTGCCATCAAATAGTGCAACAATTCAAGAAAAACGTTTCTCAACATAAAATAGCAAAGAACTTTTGCTTTTCTTCATCTACGGTACATAATATCATTAAAAGACTCAGAGAATCTGGAGAAATCTCTCTATGTAAGGGACAAGGCTAAAAACCAGTATTAGCTGGCCGTGATCTTTGGGCCCTCAGGCAGCACTGCATTAAAAACAGACATGATTCTGTAGTGGAAATCACTGCATGGGCTCAGAAACACTTCTGAAAACCACTGTCTGTGAAAACAGATCATCACTGAGTCTACAAATGCAAGTTAAAACTCTAAAATGCAAAGAAGAAACTACATAAACAGGATCCAGAAACGCTGCCACCTTCTCTGGGCCTGAGCCCATTTAAAATAGACTGAGGGGAAGTGGAAAAGTGTCCTGTGGTCTACGAACCAAGAACGGAAGAACGAAAACATTTCACTTTCTAAACTACAGCAGTGTCTCCTCAGTTCCGAAACACTTACAGAGTGTTGTTAAAAGAAGAGGTGATGAAACTCAGCGGTAAACAGGCCCCCAACTTTTTTGGAACGTGTTGTTGGCATCAAATTCAAAATGTGAATATATTTTTCAAAAAACAATAAAATTTCTCAGTTTCAGCATGTGACATAGCATTTTTAACATGTTGTCTTTGTAGTATTTTCCTTAAAAATATGGTTTACATGATTTGCACATCATTGCATTCTATTTTTTTTTTTACATTCTGCACAGCGTCCCAACTTTTTTGGAAATGGGGTTGTATTTTGTTTTTACAGAATTCAAAAATGCCAACTCTGTGAAAATGTAATGAATGGACCAACAAAAACGCTCCAGCATTATAGTTGTAAGCAAAAGTCTGAACAGTCAAATGACACATTTTGTTGATTTGTAGTGAAAATAAACACATCCTCTACACCAGGGGCGTCAAACTCAACCACTAAAAGGGTCATATTAAAAATCTCATCAAATCCAGGTCAGCTGTGTTTTGATTTCATTTTTACTTAACATTTTGCCCTGAATATGCAAACTGGCCAAATTCTAAATATGTTAACACTGCAACGGCAAAATCAGCACTGAATTCATGAACGATTTCAAAATAATTTCAAATATTACTAAACTGTTAAACACTAATAAACTATAAACTATAATAAACTATAAAATAGGCGACATCAGCTACAGTTAACTGTTAAACCTGTTAACTGTCCTCAGGAGGTATGTTTTTTTAAGAAAATTGCCTGTTTGCTTGAACTAGACACCAAACATCTTTTCTTTTTGTGTAACCGCTGGCCTGTAGTAGGTAGTTGTTGCCAGGGGATCGTAGTGCACATTATGTTGCAGTGCATGCTGGGGACTGTAGTGCAGCTCAGGGTGAAACGGGCTAAAAATAATTAAGAATATAAATAATTTCGCGGGCCGAATAAGATTGTGCCACGGGGCCTGACTTGGCTTGCAGGCCTTGTGTTTGACACATGGTCTTTACACACTTCTGCACGTTTGACAGATTGGAAATAAGCCAGAGCTTTTGCTCAGGCCACATTTTATTTTTATTTTTTATGTTAAATTCACTAAATGTTGCCAAAATTGGCCAAAATTTGTAAAGCAGTTTTTTTTTCCATGCAAAATAATCATGATAACATTTTTCCTCTTCTGCTAATAAGTTTCTGTCTTGTGTTTGGCGGGTCGAAGGAGTTATTCTCGAACTGTGATTGGTGAAAAAGGCATGCCTTTATTTTAGGCTAAAGATATATTGCCTTTTCAGATTTTTAACAGTAAAGAAACTGAAATGCGGTATAAATTTAAACAATCAAAAATAAAGTTTACATTGCACATTTATAGTCGGAAGTATTTTACATGTTTTTTTAAAGACATCAGTTTTGACACGTGACATTTCAGCAATTCACACTGTTTTTATTTATTTATTTTCATTCTATTCTTGTACAAATCCCAAAATTATGGCCAAAATGTGAAATATAATTGGTGTCCAGCTGTAATAGAGGCTAATAAAGGGCTTTTCTCTGTAGTCTTTAGTGTTTATGTTTAAAGAAATATCATGTCAGTGTTTTTATCTGAATAAAGACTCACATCTCACTCACGCGTTCAGGTCAGGCTGCGATCCGTGGGCTGGTTGCCGAGGGGCGTCGCCTCGCCAACGTGTTGCCGGGGAACCAGCGTGCGGATCTGTTGGGGAAGTGCGAGCAGGTGGAGCAGATGATGGCTCAGCTGGCTGAACTGGCGGCCCGCGGAGAGGGTGAAACGCCGCAGGCCCGCACGCTCGCCAAGCAGCTACAGGAGGCCCTCAAAGTAAGACCCGCACACAGACGCCGAGGCTGGCTTATATACCTGGGGGTCAGGTGTGTTGACAAAGTGGCCAAACTGTTATTTAAATGTTCCGTTAACAACCATTCATCACAACATCCAGGTGCAGGTCTGGATTGGAGGTGCAGATCTGAATGGCTCTGCTTCAGACTTTGGGCTCATGCAGGTTGTTTATCTGCAGCTGTTCTCTCATTTTCTCAATCTGGGGCTGAAAATATTTAACGTAACGCTGGAAACAGGCTGGATCTGACAGCCTGGCAGGCTCATTCGTTTCTGTTGAGTAATGAGCTCAGCCTTCAGCGCAGCCAGCACACAGCTGCCCTTTCCAACATTCCTGATAAAGCAGTAACACTGACGTGGTGGTGGTGTGTTAGCATGTGTTGTGCTGGTGCGAGTGGATTAGACACAGCAGTGCTGCTGGAGTTTTTAAACACTGTGTCCACTCACTGTCCACTCTATTAGACGCTCCTACCTTGTCAGTCCACCTTGTAGATGTAAAGTCAGAGACGATAGCTCATCTGCTGCTGCACAGTTTGTGTTGGTCATCCTCTAGTCCTTCATCAGTGGTCACAGGACGCTGCCCACAGGACGCTGTTGGCTGGATATTTTTGTTTGGTGGACTATTCTCAGTCCAGCAGTGACACTGAGGTGTTTAAAAACTCCAGCAGCACTGCTGTGTCTGATCCACTCAGACCAGCACAACACACACTAACACACCACCGAGAATGATCCACCACCCAAATAGTACCTGCTCTGTGAGGGTCCATGGGGGTCCTGACCACTGAAGAACAGGGTAAAAGGGGGCTAACAAAGTATCAGAGAAACAGATGGACTACAGTCTGTAACTGTAGAACTACAAAGTGCACCTATATAGTAAGTGGAGCTGATAAAATGGACAATGAGCGTAGAAACAAGGAGGTGGACCATATATCTCATTGTTTGGACTGTATAACAAGGCAGAACACATAATTTAATAATTCAGACAGCTGCCATGTTAATGCCTGTTAAGCTTACTGGTTACCAGCAAACATGTAAGCCTCTCATTTGTTTCCTGTCAAGGCCTAAAACGACAAAATATTTGCCAAGTAATACTTACCTTACAATAAATTAGTCGTTAGCTCACATTAATGCAGACATAGTGATATAAGTACATAAGCAAATTAGACTAGAATAGCGAAGAAGAAAATGAAAGAAAATGAAAGTGGAACTTAGTAACATTGTTTTTGTGTTTGTGTTATTGTTTGTTTCAGGATCTGAAGGGTAAGATGCAGGAGGCCATGACGCAGGGGGTCTCGGACATCTTCAGCGATACGACCACTCCCATCAAACTGCTGGCCGTGGCCGCTACCGCTCCACTCGGCACTCCAAACAGAGAGGAGGTACCCCACACACACACACACACGGATATATAAACACACTCTCTGCCGTACTAAGGCACTGATGTGGTGTCGTGTATTGATTTGAAGGTTTGCTCTGAATAGAAGACATTATTCTGTAGTCGGGGTCACAACCTTATTAGGAACTCTGAGCAGAGAACTTGTAATTGTCACTTTGTAATGTCTTCTGGGTTTCTCAAACACTAGAGGGCGCTCCTGAGCGAATCCATAATGAATGGATTAAGATGAAGCATTTGAGCAAAATCATAGTTTATAAATACTGAAACACTTTTAATGTACAATAATTCATTCATTTCCTGAACACAGAACAGCATAAAACATTTTAACCCTGCTGTTATATTTTAAGAGCTTTTAAACTCGAGTTATAGGAGTTTAAAACGGCGCCTCATGTACGTTCATGACGTCTGTGAGCGCCAACAGCCAATGAGCTGCTCCGCTCGCCAACCAATCAGCACTCAGTAGCAGTAATGTTAGCGTCCTGCTGCCCAAAACCCGTTTGCTGTAGAATAAAGGAAACATACAGGTGAGTTTTCTTTGTTTTTTTTAGTGAAACTCATCCTTCTGCTGTCTAAAATTAAAGGAAAGTTCTGGTTCAGTGATTAGGAACTATTTTAACTTTTCGTTTTTAGCCGTTTAGCTCCATTCACTCCCATTCATTGAGGACTCGCTCGCAAGCGCCCTCTGCTGTTTTGCAGTCCTATGGTGATATATCGGGGGAAATAGGAAGCGGCCAGACTCCTCATAAACCGGCTCTGGTTTTCTCTGTGGGATCTATGTGTTTTTGGAAAGTGCATCTATCGCCCCCTGGTGGTAAACAGAAATGATGCGTTTTGTCCTCTGTACGTTTTTCCACTGGATCCTCAGTATTTTGAGGTTATTAATGAGTTGACAGAGTATTGTAATATTATTACAGTAATATTGAAATGCTGTTGCATGGAAGTAAGATAAAATGTCAACAGTGTTTAGCTCGCTGGTTTGTTTTTATGGCATATTAGTGACGTCAGTCAGTGCAACAGTGTCAGCTTATAGTCGTATTTTGACTCTTTGATGGCCAAATCAAATAATTTCAAAAAATCACAATGAAAACTGAGAAGCACTAAATAATTTCCTGAAGAATCATAATTGAATCAAATCATTATGAGGTTAGAGGTTCACACTCTGCTCTGTGATCCATTACAGACATGCACACAGTCATGGCTTATTATGTGTAATGCTGTGTTTCTCTGTAGGGGTAAAGTAAGCCTCTGTTCTGAGCTGAAGGTTTGACACGTTCACACTTTCAGCCACGCTCCTATTAGAGGATGGATTAGAGGGAAAACATGGTTAACACAGTGTCAAACAGTGTCCACCAGCTCTTTCTTATATAACAGGATTTAACAGCACATAGTGGATGCACTGCAGCCGCCATGCAAAATAAGGACTTACCTCATTGCATACATTATTTTCATATTATTTTATAATAAATGTCTTTATTTAAGCTTTATTTTATTTAGGCTTTATTTTTACCCTCTATTGCACGATGTTGCCTCAGGGCAACAAGCTCATTTTCCTCACTTTACAATGACATTATACAAATTTAAAGACAACGGTAGGGTTAACATAAAGGGAAGAGTTGGAGTAAGTCAATAAAAAGCATGTACTTGGTCATATTGTCTCTTTTAAACTTAATTTTTAACATTTAATATGAACTTTTTTTCTTATGGGATTTGGCAGAAATATGTTTGTTGCCTAGAAGCAACATTGTGCGACAGTGGAATGGATTTAGCCAGTTACAAGCCAGGTCTCACTACTTCATGGAACGTGGCTCTATACAATTTCTTCCCACTGTCGCACAATGTTGCCTCAAGGCAACATAATCCAAAAGGACTCCTGCACATATTATTACTATTTTTTTTTATGTTTTTGAATTTAATATTTGGGTCTGAAAAAATAAATCAGACACTGTTTTATGCAAGGAAAGTGAATTGAATATATTTTTTCACACCTAAATCACTTCTGACTTTTCTGATTGCTTTGATGTCAAAAAATGCTAAACTTATTAAATATAAAGGTGTATAAACGTGTACACAAAAAGTTTCAGTTTAAGTTTGGGGGACAGAATGAAGTTGGGGCTGAAACAATCACATGCAGCAAGCTTTAATCTATTAAAAATAAATATGAAAAATAGTATTGTTGTTGTTTTGTTTGTTGTTGTTGTTGTTGGTAAATAATCCGTGTGAAGCCTTAGGCACCTAAGCACATTATTTAGAAGTATTTTTATTAACAATAAGTGTTATTTTGCTGGTAAAATTACTATATATCATTTGAATAAATACAAAAATACATAAATACACTAAAAAGTAATGAGCTAGTTAGAAGAACACTGGTTCCAGATTTCTCCTGAACGCCTCCAGACATCATAGCTTAATTAAATTCCATCTTAAATCTGATTTAACCTAATGAAGTATTGATTAGACAGAGCAGGTATTGGATGAGGACTACAGTTAACGCTGGGCTTCCAGAAGAGGTTTGAAAATGGTTAATCAAACACACTGACGTTCATAAATCACTACTAACTGCATTAATATTGTTTGCGTTTATTATAATACTTACTGTCTGGATAAACAGTATTCTAAAGCTATTTTAAAGCAGTGCTGTATGTAAATAACTTTCATTAATCAATAACTCGTGTGTGTTCAGGTGTTTGAGGAACGCGCAGCGAGCTTTGAGAACCACGCTGGACGTTTGGGGGCGACGGCAGAGAAAGCGGCCGCTGTGGGAACGGCCAATCGCAGCACAGTGGAGGGAATCCACGCTGCGGTCAAATCCGCACGAGACCTGACGCCACAGGTAGAGACGGAGGGAGACGGAGGGAGATGGAGAGAGGGAGAGAGAGAGGGAGACAGGGGACAGAAGGACACAGAGAGAGAGAGACTGAGGGAGACAGAGAGGGCGACAGGAGGGGAGACAGGGGGACAGAGAGAGACAGAGGGAGACAGAAGGACAGAGGGAGACAGGAGGACACAGGGAGAGAGAGGGAAAAAGAAATGGGAGAGGGAGACGTGGAGAGAGAGAGAGAGAGACAAGAGAACAGAGAGAGAGAAAGAGAGACAGGGACAGAAAGAGACCGAGAGAGACAGGGGGACACAGAAGGACACAGGGAGAGAGACAGAAAGAGAGAGAGAGAGGGAAAAAGAAATGGGAGAGGGAGACGTAGAGAGAGGGAGACAGAGAGGGAGATACAGAAGGAGACGGGGGAGAGAGAGAGAGACAGGGGGACAGAGAGAGAGAGAGATGTGAGCTCTTATTCTATTGAACTTATGTATTTTACGTGTTATTGAGGTTCACTTACAACATTTGTGTCGTTTTATGTGTCAAAATCAGTCGTGATTCATTTCTATGTGACCATTTTCCAGCTTCTCTTTACCGTTTGCTAATTAGCAGTTTTTTTACTGTCCCTTTAAGACTGATATATGTAAATGAGCTGTTTTCTCATATGCGGCCTATAACCGCGCCTCTTTCTAAAGGGAGTCCGAGCTGAAATACTCCTTATGACTTCAACATAAATGGGCGGAGCTAAACTGCAGTTGTCGGATAAAGGCATAAAAAAATGTGTTTACAAACACGATGATTTCAAAACAGACTGTCTTTGCAGCTAAGTGTCCATATATGGGCGGTATGGACTGAGGACAATTACAGACTGTAGTCCATCTGTTTCTCTGCATACTTTGTTAGCCCCCTTTTACCCTGTTCTTCAGTGGTCAGGACCCCCATGGACCCTCACAGAGCAGGTACTATTTGGGTGGTGGATCATTCTCAGCACTGCAGTAACACTGACGTGGTGGTGGTGTGTTAGTGTGTGTTGTGCTGGTACGAGTGGATCAGACACAGCAGTGCTGCTGGAGTTTTTAAACACTGTGTCCACTCACTGTCCACTCTATTAGACACTCCTACCTTGTCAGTCCACCTTGTAGATGTAAAGTCAGAGACGATAGCTCATCTGCTGCTGCACAGTTTGTGTTGGTCATCCTCTAGTCCTTCATCAGTGGTCACAGGACGCTGCCCACAGGACGCTGTTGGCTGGATATTTTTGTTTGGTGGACTATTCTCAGTCCAGCAGTGACACTTAGGTGTTTAAAAACTCCAGCAGCACTGCTGTGTCTGATCCACTCGTACCAGCACAACACACACTAACACACCACCACCACGTCAGTGTTACTGCAGTGCTGAGAATGATCCACCACCCAAATAGTACCTGCTCTGTGAGGGTCCATGGGGGTCCTGACCACTGAAGAACAGGGTAAAAGGGGGCTAACAAAGTATCAGAGAAACAGATGGACTACAGTCTGTAACTGTAGAACTACAAAGTGCACCTATATAGTAAGTGGAGCTGATAAAATGGACAATGAGCGTAGAAACAAGGAGGTGGTCAGAATGTTATGGCTGATCGGTGTAAAGTAGTGTTATTGTGATGAAGAAAACATGCTTGTAAGCAATTTGTGGGCAAAAACGTTAGGTAACTAGCCTTCATAACTTCTGTTCTGAGCTGTCATGTCAGCATCAGTGAGTAAATCGGCTCGGAACCCCCAAATCCTGATATTATTGCTCCGCTGTTTGGTCTTCATATTCCAACAAAGGGTTAAACCAGCGACATGATTCACACATCAGATCACTCATCAGACTCGGCCTCACCATCCAGAGTGATTTCATCCACCTGTGACCATCAATCAGCCAGAGATCCAGATCCAAAATCACCCAAACCCACTCGCTACTCTTATATTACATCTCTGCTTTTAGCTCATATTATAAACAAAGGGTTAAAGCAGTGACATGATTCACACATCAGATCACTCAAAGGAACCTGCATCACTAGCCAGAGTGACAGAAACCAACTCTAACATCACACAACCCAGAAATAGTAAGTAAGTAAGTAAAGTTTATTTATATAGCGCTTTTTACAACAGGTGTTGTCACAAAGCAGCTTTACAAGGAAATCAGCATTACAGAAAGAAATCTGGGTCCGAGCCCCCATGAGCGTCGCCAGTGGCGACAGTGGCAAGGAAAAACTCCCTAGAGAAACAGGAAGAAACCTTGAGAGGAACCAAGACTCAGAAGGGGAACCCATCCTCCTCTGGTCGACACCGGATAGTAAACATTGTTAGTACAAAAACAGGGAAAACAGGTGGAGCATTGATTAATTTGATTAGTTTAGTTCATGCAGCAGCAGCAGCAGCAGCATCAGTGGGGTCAGGTTGTGAGGGTGAGGTTTGCACGGCGTAGTACAGCATGGAGCTCGATGGTGGTCAAGCTGGTCCAGAGGGCTGGCGAGCAGTGGCACCCAATCAAGGCAGAAGAGGCAGCAGCATCAGACGCACAGGATGGGCAGCTGTTCAACTCGGCAAAGGAAACGAAAAGAAAGGAGAAACACACAGAGTCAGTTCTGTAATGAGTGACTGACAGAACTGAGAGTCAGTTCTGTAATGGGTGTCAGGCACAAACACAGCAGCCGGATCACTGTAAAACCTGCTATTAGCTCTGCTTTAGCCTTCGTGTGGCAACAAAAGGGTTAAAACATTTTTAAAAGCTCAGGCTTTGTAATTGAGGTTGAAGTGGTGTGTGAGAGGTGGCTGATGGGAGACAGTAGACGGTGAGGATGTTGCTGGATTCTCTGCAGGTCGTGTCTGCCGCTCGAATCCTCCTGAAGAACCCTGGAAACCAGGCGGCTCATGAGCACTTTGAGACCATGAAGAACCAGTGGATCGACAATGTGGAGAAGATGACAGGTGAGTTCAGACAGCAGTGTTTGTTCAGCTTTGCGCTCGGTGTTTCAGTGCTGTTCTCTCAGGCCTAGAAAAATGAGAAAACATTCATAAAGTGATAGTTCTGAAAAAATCCCCCAACCTCAAATGTCAGTCAAGCCGAAATGGGTTTCCTGTCTGACGTTTGCTTCTTTACTTCTGCACTGGAACTGTGAGGCTAATGAAGCTAGAAAATAATGAAATTATGTGTGCTGAATGTATAGCATACTGCTATCAATAAAGCTGGACATTGGAATTTGTGCTAAAAACAAGAAAAGTATGTTGAATAACTAAAGTAGTAGCAGCTAAATTGAATTCTGTCCATATTTTGTCCATTTTTAAAGATTTTTTACAGTAATTGTGTAAACCAAGCCTACACACCTGAAGCGATTCTTCAGTGGTTATTTAGTAAATAAATTGGTTCTATATAGAACCATGAATGCTCAAAGAACCCTTCGCATGAATAAAGGGATCTTCGCATCATGAAAGAGTTCTTTAGACTGACGGAGAATCTTCTGTACATGGTTCTCATAGAACCATTCTGAAAAGCACCAAAAAAGGGCTCTTCTCTTGTGTCGAGCTTGACATCCTAACTATAGAAGAACGCTTTTTGTTGCTATATAGAACCCTTTTTAAAAAGGTTCTATACAGAACCATCTACAGCACGTTCTCCATCAATCTGAAGCCGACCGATTCACTTTAATCATGTAAAGGGTTCTTTGAGTGTTCATGGTTCTGTTTAGAACCATTTTCTTTACTAAAGAACCCTTGAAGAACTGCCTTTTTTAAGGGTGTAGATTTAGCTAGCTGTGAGAAGGAAAAAACCTTCAATGTAACTTTCAATGTAAGTCAATGGAACCAGAATTTTTTCCAGGTCAGTTTGGGTCGTTTCTTTTAGTCCATTCTTCATGAAATTCACACACAATGTAAAGAGCAACAGGCATTTTCAGATTAGGTGAAAAACTGAAAAACATCAAAAATGAAGTTACGAGGTTTTCTTCCCACAACGACGATATGCTGCAGGTTTGCTGCTGGTATGACCAGCTAAACCAGCACCAGACCAGCTTAGACCTTCTGTGCCTTTTTTCAGACTACAAGCGTGCAGTTAGCACCATGCTAATTGGTGGGCAATAAGTTTCCATTACTTGTTAGCTACGTTAGCCTTGTAGCTCCAGTGTAAAACTAAAGATGCAAACAGCCAAGACACCAAATCCGACTACATCTGAGGTGCCAAACTGCTGCTTTCAACAGACTATCACTGTAACGCTCTCAGGACCATTCTTTGGAGGTCTCACCATCTCAGTACTGTCCACCTCAGATTAGCCTTACCGGAACAACCATGTTCAATTAAAATGCTGTATTAAAATTAATGAATGGATTAAACTTCATCAATCAGTGTTGTTTTTTCCTTACCAGCTCTGGTGGACGAAGCGATAGACACTAAGTCCCTGTTGGACGCATCTGAGGAGGCCATTAAAAACGACCTGGAGAAGTGTCAGATGGCCATGGCCAATCACCAGCCTCAGATGCTGGTTGCTGGGGCAACCAGCATCGCCCGGCGGGCCAATCGGATCATGCTGGTGGCGAAGCGTGAAGTGGAAAACTCTGAAGACCCCAAGTTCCGCGAGACGGTGAAGGCTGCGTCCGACGAGCTCAGCAGTACCATCTCCCCAATGGTGATGGGGGCCAAGGCCGTCGCCGGCAACATACAGGACCCGAGTGAGACCCTTAAACTCATTCTGACTCAGAATCACCACCAAATTCACAATAAAGTTTGCTTAAAAGGCCCATATCATCAAACTGTCTGCACCACTTAACTATCGGTTTTGGCTTTTTTGAACAAAAGCGTCTGATTTACGAAACACAAATGTTACAAAAATGTATAGTCTATTTATGGAAACTAAGCGATAAAATTAACTGTGATGTCACAAAAAAGCACCACATCTACATACAGTACTGTGCACAATTTGAAACACCTGAGGAAATTATATTTTAAAAGCTGTTTAGCTGGCTGGTTCAATTAATCAATCAATCAATCAATCAGCCTTTATTTAACCTCGGAGAACATTGAGGGTGACTCTCATTTACAATGTTGTCGAGTTAATACGGAAAAAAGGGACTGATAATGTTTGAGAACATATCAAATAGTAAAAGTAAATTTAATAATCAAAATGACTCAAATCAGGTTAGTATAAAAAATGAAACATGATAATAATAAAAATACATGAAAAACAGTAGAAAACAGATAAAAAACAATAATTAAAGCATAATTAAAATGTAAAAGTTAATAACATCGGAAGAAGACAAACAAAAAGGAGAGTACAGTCAAAAAAAGGAAACTAAAATTAATTAAAATTACTGAAATAATGAAATCAAAATGGACCTTTTTCACCTTGTTACCTTGTTGTTTTTGGTGATAGTAAACACAATTTATCATATCAGATCTTTTAACCTTTTTAACTCTGTGGAATCAGCGGTGGTTCCAAAACGCACTTCGTCATATTCTTTACTTCATAACTTTCATATTTCATAAGCTTCACTCTAAAGGTGGGGGTCATATGAGAGCTGTAACTGTCTTCTTTCCAGTCAAATTGATGGGTGATGTAATTTTTAAACTTTATAATAAAAGAGGCTGAATTCACAGTTTTTTGTTCTACTGAAAGTCGACCCATTTTTCCACAAATCTGGGCTATAAACTATAAACAGATGGCGTCTCTTCAGTGATCTGCTCTGTAAACATTATTTTTATAAAAAAAATACAAAGAGCGTCTAAGATTTTTGGCTTTCTTTACAAGAAAAAAAAATTACTTTTATTTCATGCAGTTATTGAATAATTTGCCTTATGATTTGTGCATGTAAATTCAGTGGAAAAAACAAAAATGTATGATAAAGAGAGCGAAATGTTTATGAAAAATGGCGCTTTTAATTTCAGAAACACAGTTTATTTAAAAATCACAGGTTTCAGTATCCATGATGTGATTTTTACAGTGTTGAATTTGGTAACATCTACTCATCACACGCCATCTTTACCCGTACAAGAGGCTTCATGAATTTCCCTTTAACACTAAATATCTCTCTCTCTCTCATTCTCTCTCTCTCTCTCTCTCTCTCTCTCTCTTCTCTCTCTCTCTCTCTCTCTCTCTCTCTCTCTCTCTCTCATTCTCTCTCTCTCTCTCTCTCTCTCTCTCTCTCTTCTCTCTTTCTCTTTCTCTTTCTTCTCTCTCTCTCTCTCTCTCTCTCTCTCTCTCTCTCTCTCTCTCTCTCTCTCTCTCTCTTTCTCTCTCTTTCTCTCTCTCTCTCTCTCTCTCTCTCTCTCTCTCTCTCTCTCTCTCTCTCTCTCTCAGCTCTCCAGAAAGGTTTTATGGATTCTGGCTACAGGATTCTAGGCGCAGTAGCTAAAGTTAGAGAGGCCTTCCAGCCACAGGAGCCGGACTTCCCACCACCCCCTCCTGACCTCGAGCAGCTGCATGTGAGACCTCTTGTTCTCTGAATGCTAATCTTTTCCTGCCGTGTTTATCTCAGCTTCGGTTGCCATGAAAATTAGGAAAACACTGCAGACAGTGCAGTTTTAAAATCGCAAGAACTGCAATTTTCTTTAATTATAGCCGACACTCTTAAATTATGTAGCTCTTCAAGGTTCTTACAAGGTTTCTTTCATAAAACAGTCATTCCATACAGAACCATGAACACTCAGACCCATTTGCATGCATAAAAAGTTCTTTGCCTGGTGAAATAGTTCTTCAGATTGGAGAACGTGCTGTATGTGGTTCTGCACAGCACCAAAAAGGGTTGGCACTGTTACTTTGTTGCTTGTTGATGTCAAACTTATAACAATAGAAGAACATTTTGGTCCTATAGAGAACTCTTTTCAAAGAGGTTCTGTATAGAACCATATACATCACATTCTCTATCGATCTGAAGAACCATTTCACCACGCAGAGAACTTTTCATGCACGCAAATGGGTTGCTGAGTCCTTATGGGTCTACATAGAACCACTGTCTTTACTAAAGAACCCTTGAAGAACCATCTTTATTATGTGAGTGCATTAGCAAAAACGTTGTTTTAAGTTTTAAGAGGGGAAACGGAACCTAGTAAGAGCTTGTGAACTGCCTGTAGGTGAGTTAGACCAATCAGAGGCAACCAAACCTCCATGTGTTGTGACATCACAACCACAGCTTACTGGCAGTTTGATACACTACGTTCAGGGGTCGAGCCTCAGAACCTCAATTAAAAAAAAACGCAAATCGCAGTTGCAATATTTATCGAAAAAATCGTATTAGACACCTTCCACAAATCAGCTCTAATATGTGGTACTGAAATCCAATATGCGACAGTGCAACGGAATTCATACGACTTTTACGTCAATCCAACTCGACACTCATTATAATTTGGCGCTGCTGAGGCTCATAAACATTTAGGCTGATGTTTCTGTACAAAAAAATCTGAAGGCACTCGTCGCACCCGCTCCACGTTCGAAGAGATTTTGAAAGAAATGGCTGAACTCAGTCGTAGAGAACTGTTTTTGTTTTTAAGCCTAGGCTGAGTGCCTAGATAAGCCTGGGGCCCAAACCATCGTATGTTGTGTTCCGGATGCTGGTATGCGAAACCAGCACCAGACTAGCATAAACCAGCATAAGACCAGGATAGAATTCTAAGCTGTTTTATTCTGGTCTGGTGCTGGTTTAGCATCCGAAACACAACATATGCTGGTTTTGTTGGTGACCAGCCATTCTGGTCTATGCTAGTTTTTCTAGCATAGTAGCTAAGGCCACACTGAGTATGCTTACATGCAAAGATTTTTGCCCGTCCGATTGAATACATTCTGATTACAGATTAAGACTGAGCTGTTTATTCTCACTCTACTCAACAATCGATGGAAAATCATCATTTACATGCTCACTACAAGTAATCAGATCCACTTAGTGTAGACGTTACCATGACAACAAGCATAACGTGAGTCCAGTCGGAGTGAGATGAGCAGCAGTGAGCAGCGCTTGTGTTTTTAATTGCTTTAAAATGAGGTCAGACTCAGGAAAACGTCCGTCACATGTCCTTATTAAAGAAGGCCGAGAGGAAGACGTCGTGTTCTGAGACACATAAGCTGGACGTCCGTCCCACCGCCGTCTTTTAAAGATCAGAACATAAACTTCGTCTCCTCTGCAGACCAGTTTCTGCTCCGCCATGTTGAACGGTATAAACTTTCAGTATGACGCGACGAACATGATCAGAATGGACTTAAACTTTCCGATAGGGAATGTAATCAGATACAGGCGTTTACACGGATATTATTCTTCTATTTAACAGATTATTTACAGGATTACCCACCTCGATCAGTCGGATAGAAACTGTATTCTAAATGGCCTCAATCAGACTAGACCATTCTGATTGAGGTGTTTACATGGACGTATTCTATTCCAATTGAGCTATTAGTCAGATTATTAACAGATTATTAGGCTGCGTGTAAACATGGCTACTGAGTATTTAGCTAAGGCTAGGCTGAGTATCTTATCTTTATCTCCATACCTAAACTATAATCCTAACTTTTACCCATAACTCTAGCAGAGGTGTTCTTTTGTGTCTTTATGTTTTATGATTCTCAGATTATATTATTAATATTATACTTAAATTATAAGTACCGTCAATGCAGTGCATGTGAGAAGATGCTTGTCTTGGCCTTGGGCACCACTCCTGTCCATGCTCACTCACTCAAGAACCTCTCAGGCATTAATTAGCTTTATTTTTTATTCTCCATCAGCTGAATGATGATGCTGCCCCCCCAAAACCCCCCCTTGCCAGAGGGTGAGGTGCCTCCCCCAAGGCCTCCCCCTCCTGAGGACAAGGACGAGGAGTTCCCAGAGCAGAGAGCTGGAGAGATGGTCAGTGAACCCATGATGGTGGCCGCCCGGCAGCTCCACGATGAGGCTCGCAAGTGGTCCAGCAAGGTTAAGGACGTTTACTTTCTGTTTGTTTGTACAGGGAAAATGTATTACCAAGAAATAATGAGTCTTTTAGACCAAGTTTTGGTCTTACGTGATAGAATGTTACCAAATTGTAAGTGTTAATGGGGGAGTTTTCCCAAACATAGAAGAGTGCAATATGGTGTCCCACAAGGCTCTGTTTTAGGGCCTTTAGCGTTCTCCCTTTACAGTTCCCACAACACATATTACAAAAACACACTGTTGCCTTCAACTTTATGCTGGTGATTCTTGATTTTTTCACCAGACTGCTCTTTTAATGTTCACTTATATTAATATCTTAACTGTGTCTTTTTTTTTATTTTATTTTATTTTATTCAGGGTAATGACATCATCGGTGCTGCTAAGCGCATGGCTCTTCTGATGGCTGAGATGTCTCGACTGGTGCGAGGCGGCAGTGGGAACAAGCGTGCGCTGATCCAGTGCGCTAAGGACATCGCTAAAGCCTCGGACGAGGTTACCCGCCTGGCCAAGGAGGTCGCCAAGCAGTGCACGGACAAACGCATCAGAACCAACCTGCTGCAGGTACGCATGCACTTCAACCATGGTCACTCAGGACTGTCACCTTGCTGTTTTCTTTGCTCTGGTGGAGCAAAACTCAGCTGATTAAGGACCAGGTGGTCCAGGTATGATTTTGGAGGGCATATATTGCTCAGTAAAATACTAATGTTACTAGCTATGCAGCAGTGGGGGGTGATATGGCAAAACTATTATATCACGATACTTCGAGACTTTTTCACAATCTACAATATGCATCACGATATTTTCGTTTTTCTGAGATTTAAAAAAGTTGGAGCAGACAAAATAGAACCTGTAGTGCCACATATAAAAATATATCTATTATAATAATAATAAAAAACCTTTTTACTGAATATTTTGCAAACTGAACTGCACTAGATCCAGTTAAACAGGCCTGAATTTGCTCTCTTTCTAATGAAATGTAGTTGCTCAGTGTTCTGTAAGTACTGACGATATCCACAATATGCTCAGAAAAACATATTGTGACATATTTTATCACAATAACAATAACATATCGTCATATTGCCCAGCCCTACTAAGTAGATTGTTTTTCATGAGTGAAAAGAGATTATGATTACGCAGATTTGTATTCCAGCATAAAATTAGTTACTTGGCATCTCTCAGCATCCCAGAATTCACAAATTTGAGTGCTTTTTGTGTTTCTGTCCATTAATGTTGTCTCACTACAATACCCAGCATGCATTACGCAAACACGTCATGCAACCATTGGGCATCCCCCCCCATGGCAATATGGAAATCCTGACTTTTGCATATGACTGTAGCTAAAGAGATCATGCTCAGAAATGAGTGCTGTGTCGGCGCTGCACCGTCCTGTCTGTTTCCTGTGTCTAATGTCTGTTTAATTTATCATATTTATTGTATTGTTTCTAGTTTAATTTTTTGTCTGCACGTTCACACTTTGTACTCTCTTGCTGCACCATGTTGTTCCTGGAGGAACGTAATTTCACTGTGTACATAGATGGAATGACAATACAAACCTATGACATGACTTGACTTGACAGTACAACAGTGTTTATAAAGTCTCTATAACAGTCTGTCTCTCTCTGCAGGTGTGTGAGCGTATCCCCACCATCAGCACTCAGCTGAAGATCCTCTCCACAGTGAAGGCCACCATGTTGGGACGCACCAACATCAGCGAGGAGGAATCTGAGCAGGTGAGAAACAACTCCCCCAATCCTTTGGCCCAATCCTATTTCTTATTTTCACCCCTTCCCCTTGTTTTTGAGTGTCACTTTGAGGGTAGTGGTAGTGAAACCTTCTCCTACAAAATGGAGCAAGAATCCGATACGTCATCAGTGGTCGTTGATGGCTTTTATGTGAACAAACATTTCCAATATGCCAGTAAGCGTCCTTTATAGTTGTCTGCAGCAAATCAGAGGGATGTTAGAAAACAAAGATGTTTTCAATGCCTGGGAATGCTGGTGGATTGGATGTGGTACACATAACGTTTACTTCATTGAGTGTGTTTACATGCACTTAAGAATCCGATAACTGCAGAAAATCAGATTTTGGCAGTAATTCCATCAACGCGTTTAGATGAACTTGAGTAATCAGATAATGGGGAAACTCCTGGTCTACATGATTCAGACGGTAATCAGATTTCTGATTTGTAACCAGACAATAAACTCACAGACGAGGACGTGACGTAAACTACTTACTTACAGTGCCGCCGTCTGTTTTCACACATGCTCAGACTGAGAAATCCGAAAGAAATCAGAGTAAGAGTTTACAGCACTGAGAAATCTGATTACTGAGCTACAATCCAGCCTCTTTATCAGATTTTGTAATCGGATTTCTAGACTTAACTCCGATCTAAGAAATCAGAGTGTGCTGTTTACATGACCATTTGAATAATCAGATAACTGCAGAAATCTGATTATGATTGGATTATTAAGGGAATGTAAAAGCACTCATTGATTTGTGTGTTAATTTCTCATAACTCTCTGTTTGCAGTGTCTGAAAAACCTCCGTTTGGAGGGCCATGTAGCCCTAACACTTTGCCCTACCCCCAACAAAAATTAGGACACCCTACTGCTCGACCGATACCGATACTAACTCTATCTAACCTAATTCACCTGTAACTCCTGATATTTATACAGTTACATTTTTAAAATATTTTATTTTCGTAACATCTGTGTTCTGCATCACAAATAAAACACACTCAGCTTGGCTTTTACTGGCGTTTACTTGTTGTATTTATTAGATGCTTAAGAATACAGCTGATTGACGAACACGCACCGCAGATGGGGTTTGTGGACGCACAGGCCCGGCTAGCGGGCTGCTATGATAAAGGCTAAATCGAGGCTAAAGGCTGTCATTTCGCAGAGAGTCCAGTGGTTCCTTCTGTTCTATCAGTACCATTAACTTAGACTTAAGTGACCACACAGCAGCAGACGAGTGATACTGATAGCAGCTCAGCCGTTCAGGGAAGTGGCTCCGTTAGCATGTTCTTAATACCAAAAACTGCCGTTACAGATTCTGCCATGAGCGTTTTTACTGCTGCTTGTCGTCCCAGATGCTGACGTGTTGTTCAGGTCTGTCTATTAGTGCGCATGCATGCGCCAGAGGTTGCGCTGTGGTATCGGTCATGTGTATCAGTATCCCTATCACCAATACCGATACTGCGTTTAAGCACCAGTATCGGCGCAGATACCAGTACAGTATCTTTATCGGTGCATCACTAATTAAAAAGTGAAGAGGTGTGTTCTCTGTAGGAGATGTCATTTGACCAGCGGCACCTGAACTTGTTCATATAACTGTATATAAATAAATACTGCTTACTTATTAGACTGAATTCAAGCTGCCTGTGTTGCTCTCCTCCAGGCGACGGAGATGCTGGTCCACAACGCTCAGAACCTGATGCAGTCGGTGAAGGAGACGGTGAGGGAGGCTGAGGCGGCTTCCATCAAAATCCGCACAGACGCCGGATTCACGCTGCGCTGGGTCCGGAAAACACCCTGGTACCAGTGAGGAGGCGTTCAGCACGGAGCGCGCACCGCCAGCCCACCGCTTCACTCCGCACCAGCTCCTGCAATATAACACACACTCGCACCCTCAGGTCCAGCCGCCGTGTCCCCTTATCCCAAACTCTACACCTGTATCTGCTGCTCTTCCACGCCTCCGCTACGGAATGTAAGATAAGGGACGGCCCGTTCACTTTAACAGCTATTATTGCTATTTTCTGATGCAAAATTCCTTTTATAATTTGTAAAAAAAAACAAAGAATTTTGTTTTTGAGAGATTCCCAAGTTATATTTTATATTTAAATCTGGTGAAGATAATTATTTTCGTGTTTTGGGTGCACAAAAAGGACTTTTTTTCAAATTTTCCTAAGTAACACTTTGCAATAATGCATGTATTTCATCCTTCACGCATTGCATAATATCTAAAATCATCCATTAAGGTTTGCGATGCTCACACACTCTGATTTATGACGTTTTGTCAATCTCTGCCAAAGATTCGTCGTCGAGTTTGTTACGTTCCAGTTTGTTTTCGTGTTTGTTCATCAAAAGGGAATCAGCGTTGAAGATTAAATGAGTGAGGATTTTTCTTCCAAAACATTTTTCCAGTTTTGAAAAATTCTTTGTGCATCTTTGCAGGATAAGGTGCTACATTTACCTCCATAGGCACAGGGTTTAGACTTGAACCTAGGTTTTAGTTCATGCTCAGTAAGCATAAAAGCTGCATAGTGACACCCCTGGGTTATTTCATGGGTATTATATATTATACTCAAATATTTTGGCATAAAATTCCCACATAATTTGCCCTCTGCCTGAAAGAAAGTGGAAAGTGATGAGAAACGCATCACCACCCACAACATTCAGCAGAAAAATAGTCCCAGAAAAGGTGTGAGATGGCATGTGTTAAATTCTTTCGCGAGATGATGCGACACTGCATTATAGGTGTATAATTTCCCAAAAAATGAATAAATAAATAAAAAATTCGCTCTATGGTGGTATTTTTAGTGCCCTATCTTACTTAAGACACACAAAAAAGCACCAAAGTTGTTCTGGAGGCCTCGTATTAGAATTCCTTTGAGCTGTTCGCAGCGTATGAGTTTGGTTGGTGTTATGGGATCAGATTTGGTGGGTTTTTTCTTCCTCCTGTAACTGGTATTGCTGTTGTGACGTCGAAGACGTTGTTGTTGGATTGTTTTGTATGTCAATCAGAACTAAAACACATACTAACTGATCTGTTGACCTTTGACCAGGTGCCTAAAACTTTGTATTCATCATGAACGAAGACACACCCTAATTAAATAAACTCACACATATACACACACATACATACATGCACAGCCTTTACCGTCCTGTTATTTCAAATAGACTCCCACTGTGCTGAAATACACTAACGAACACACTCGTATTTATAAGAGTGCTTTAGGGTTTTTTACTCTCTTTCCATTTTCTAATGTTGACCAGACAGAAGTTTGAATGTAAATATCAGTAAACCCTGTTATGACTTGCTCATGTATTATGTGCCTTATTAAAGCATCTAGTCATCAACAAAACTGTCTGTGGTGGTGTTTTTTGGTAGAGCATAGACCAGCATATCTGGTCACAAGTAGGAGTGAATGATACGGCAAAAATATTACACCGATCAGGCATAACATTCTGACCACCTCCTTGTTTCTACGCTCATTGTCCATTTTATCAGCTCCACTTACTATATAGGTGCACTTTGTAGTTCTACAGTTACAGACTGTAGTCCATCTGTTTCTCTGATACTTTGTGAAGAACCCTGTTCTTCCGTGGTCAGGACCCTCATGGACCCTCACAGAGCAGGTACTATTTGGGTGGTGGGTCATTCTCAGCACTGCAGTAACACTGACGTGGTGGTGGTGTGTTAGTGTTTGTTGCGCTGCTCTGAGTGGATCAGACACAGCAGTGCTGCTGGAGTTTTTAAACACTGTGTCCACTCACTGTCCACTCTATTAGACACTCCTACCTTGTCAGTCCACCTTGTAGATGTAAAGTCAGAGACGATAGCTCATCTGCTGCTGCACAGTTTGTGTTGGTCATCCTCTAGTCCTTCATCAGTGGTCACAGGACGCTGCCCACAGGACGCTGTTGGCTGGATATTTTTGGTTGGTGGACTATTCTCAGTCCAGCAGTGACACTGAGGTGTTTACAAACTCCAGCAGCACTGCTGTGCCTGATCCACTCGCACCAGCACAACACACACTAACACACCACCACCACGTCAGTGTTACTGCAGTGCTGAGAATGACCCACCACCCAAATAGTACCTGCTCTGTGAGGGTCCATGAGGGTCCTGACCACGGAAGAACAGGGTTCTTCACAAAGTATCAGAGAAACAGATGGACTACAGTCTGTAACTGTAGAACTACAAAGTGCACCTATATAGTAAGTGGAGCTGATCAAATGGACAATGAGCGTAGAAACAAGGAGGTGGTCATGATGTTACGCCTGATCTGTGTGTATCTCGACACTTTGAGACATTTTTACACCATTTACATCACGAAAAAGTTTGTCTGAGATTTAGACAAAAAAGAGCCTGTAGTGCATTTAAAAATACTACATTTATAATAATAATGATAACAGAGGTGGGCAATGTGACAAAAATATTATATTTCAATACTTCAAGAAATGTTCACAATACATGGTGTCACGATATTTAGTTTTTCAGACATCAGAACTGAGAATACAATTATTTTACTTAATATTTTGCATACTGTGTTGCTCTAAATCCAGTTAAACAGGACTAATTTTGCTCTCTTTATAATGAACCAGCAGATGGTCAGTGTTCTACAAGTACTGACCATATACATACATTCAGAAAAGCGCATTGTGTTGTGAATATAATATATATAATTTATCACGATAACGATATATATTGTAATATTACCCTGCCCTAAATACTACTACCTCTGTTACTACTACTAATAATAATAATAATAATTATAATAATAAAATCTACAACCACTGTGTTTTGATTGTGTTTTACAAACTGCACCTCACTAAATCCGGTTAAACAGGCCTAATTATGCTCACTTTGTACTGAAGCATGTAGTTAGTCAGTACTGACGATTTCCACGATATGATCAGAAAAGCATATTGTGACAGATCATGATAACGATGCAATATTGTCATATTGCCCAGCCCTCGTCACCAGCATAACAAGCATATGTTGTGTTTTGGATGCTGGTATGCTGGTCAACCAGCATGACCAATCTGGGTAACTAGCCAGATTCTACATGATGAAATAGTTGAGATGTAATCAGAGTCATTCAGAGCGGTTTGGTGTGAAACGTTCTGTTCTAGATAAACTTACAGAGTCAGAACTGTTCACAGTGGTGGTGATGGGAACCAGACGTCCACCTCTAAAAGCTAGATGACTGAGAACACTGTTTTATGATAGTTTAGTGATAATGTTTTGGCTTAAAATGTATTTTAATCCATTTATTTGAATCCTTTCGTGGTGGAGGGGATGTGTAGGATGTTGTAAGGCATGATGGTCCCCAAAGAAAACGTATTATTTTTAGATTTTCCATCATCAACATTCCATATAAACTCAGAAGACTCGTGTAGGTTCACTGGTGGTTCTGGATAGTAAATAAAATGTCTATATTTGTGTTGTAGTCATGGCGACCACCACTGTACAGATATCTGAGTCTCTACAATCAACCATTTAACACCAAACAACTCTATTCATCTCTATTTCTTCAGTGGTTGAGATGATATTTCGGTCACTGAATTACACAGACATTTTTAAAAATTGGTGGAATTCCCCTTTAAAGCTAAATATCCAAAACAATAGTGGAAAAGTGGAATAGGGGAGGGAGGAGGATTAGCATTCAGCTCATTTTTAGAGGAGGGCCCTGTTTTAAAGTCCCTGCCATGTTACAGAAGGCAAGAAAAGCAGCAGATACCAAGCTGAGGTAGGAGTTTTTAAATATATATATCAGAACAATACCACAGGTTCGGAAATGTTTTGGTGGCTAACATTCAAATCAGCAAAGAGATCAGGGTTGGGTCACTGTTCGCTGTGTGGAAGGAGAGGAATGAGGCGTATTAGCTTGTGGCTAACTGTACACAAACACATACAGTGGCATTATCTGGTTAATGATTTACCGGATTTTCATAACTGGCCTCTGTTTACATCAGGAAGACAGGGTGTTCACCTGCAGGACAGTCTGTACCAGCTGGCCAGACCTGTTTAATCAGGGTCAGTGAGACTGCAGGGTCACCTTTGGCTCTTAGTGAACTAACAATTACACTAATACTAGATTTATTATAGACACAACTTATTCTAGAGAATGTAATCATATAAGGAATCTATCTACACGTGCATACTCATAAAGCTGATATATAGGCCCTATATGCACATATATCATAAAAGGGTCAGACACATATTTATATGTAGCTACATACAATGCTAGAAAAACCCGCATAGGCTGTTTTGGATGCTAGTATGTTGGTCATCAGCAAAGGAAGTTCAATCAATCAATCAACCTTTATTTAACCTCGGAGATCATTAGGGGTGACGCTCATTTACAATGTTGCCGTGTTAACACAGGAAAAAGATTGATAATGTGTAAGAAAGGTAAATTAATAATAAAAGTGACTCAAATCAGGTAAGTTTAAAAAAATGAAACATTAATAAAATGTAAAAAATGTATAAAAAACAGTAAAAATATTTAAAAAAAAGTAAAAAAATATAAAACAACAACTAAAGCGTAACTAAAATGTAAACGTTAATAAAATCTAAAGAAAATAAATAAAACAAAAGAAGGATAAGATCAAAAAAGGAAACAAAAATTAATTAAAATGATTGAAATAATAATAAAATAATCAGATTTAAAACACATCATTAAAAAAAAGTAAACCAGCACCAGGCTAGCACTACACCAGCATAAACCAGTAAAGACCAGCAAGGAATTCATGCTGGTCTGTGTTGGTATCAAATATATAAATAAAGTATCAAATATTGGACATAGCTGCACAATATATGGAGCTGATATATGTCTGATAGGTGGGTGAACATATGCATGCATATAAAATATAGACGGCTCATACACGAACATACCATATATATATATATATATATATATATATTTCTGATGCATGGATCATACATATGTCACTAAAAGTTTTTTTAATAGCTAAAAATCAAAATGAAAACCTTAAAATATAAAACAAAGTTAGTATACATGAGTAATATACACCATCCATATGTAAATAATGTTTTCTATCATATATTTTTAAATATACGTGTTACACATATGTGTTTGATTAAGCTGATGAATGGCTGAAATATGTGTCCCCTATTTAAATGGAGGTTTTGAATGGAACTGGAGTTGGCATATATGTGACATATATATGTCCATATGTGACTACTATAAGAGAAATCCATATATGCTAATATATCATATATTTGAAATCCATTTTTTGCCATGTATCACATTTCTGTGTAGGGTAAATGCTGCTTGGCTGTTGTAATGAGGATGTTAAATTAAAACTGACATTCCTATAAATAACAGATAGAAGACTTAAACATGTGCATTAATTGGGCTGTTAATTCACCTTTGCTTCAAGTTTGCTTCTGTCAAATGGTTCTAGATAGCACCAAAAAGGGTTCTTCTACTGTTACAGGCTTGACATCGTAACAACAGCAGAACCTATTTTCGAAAAGTTTTCTGTATGGAGCCTTTTCATGCTTAAATGGTTCTTAACATGGTGAAATGGTGAGAATGTGTTGTATATGGTTATATATATTTATACATTGTAGCAATAGAAGAACCTTTGTTGGTGCTGTACTTCACTCTGAAGGACCATTTCACCATGAAAAGAACCATTTAAGAATATATAGAACTATAGAATTTTACTAAAGAACCCTTGAATCTGTATGTATGATCTTTTTTAATTGTGCACAACTTTAGTTTAATGTCCTACGGTCTTAAATATCCAAAGTTTGGGGTTTGACAGGAATATTAGCCTTTATTCAGATATAAAAATGCACTGAAATTATATTTCTTTAAGCATAAACACTACAGCTTACAGAGAAAAGCTCTTTATTAGCCTCTGTCACAGCTGGACAGCGATTATATATGAGATTCTGGCCATAATCTTGGGATTTGTGCAAGAATAGAATGAAAATAAATAAATAAAAATCGGGTGATTTGCTGAAATGTCACGTGGCTCCATCTGTCAGAACCAAAGCCTTTAAAAAAGACATTTAAAAATACTCTAAATCTGCGATGTAGGAACTTTATTTTTGATTATGTTTGATTTATAAGCATTTTTTATTTATTTTTTTTAAATATAAAAAGGCGATTTATTTTTTAGCCTAAAATAAACGCATGTTTTTTTTTTAGCCAATCACTTTTCGATAATTATCCCGTTCGATCCGCCCACCGCCGATGTAACCAATCAGCTGAGGCAAAGCGTAGTTACGCGATTTCCGCTTTCGCGCGAGAGACCACGCGCTGCTGTTGCTGCTGGTGCTGGTGTTGGTGCTGGTGTTCGTGCGGAGGTGTGCAGCGCGAGG